ACGGCATTGACGGGCAGCCAATCAGACAGACGGATGAGCGCGCGCCAATTCAGACAGACGATTGACGCGGGCAATCAGACAGACGGAAATTGACGGCTGCCAATCAGACAGACGGATTAGACGGGACGTGCCAATCAGACAACGGATGACGGACGCCAACAGACAGACGGCATTGACGGGCGGCCAAGAGACAGACGGAGTTGACGGAGCGGCCAAGGAGACAGCACGGATTGACGGCGCCCAAGGAGACAACGGCACTGAACGGAGCGCCAGGAGAACAGACGGATTTGAGCGGCGCTCAGAGAGGATGACGCGGAACAGAGCGATTGACGAGTGCGGCCACGGATTGAGGGCAAGCAGATCGGATTGACGGGCGGCGCACAGCATGACGGCAAGAGGACACGGATTTGACGAGCGCCAAGGAGACAGACGGATTGACGGCGGCCAAGAGACAGACGGTTGACGGGCGCCAAGGAGAAGACGATGACGCGGCGGCAGAGGATTGACGGGCGGCCAAGGAGACAGACGGATTGACGGGCGGCCAAGGAGACAGACGATTGACGGGCGGCCAAGGCAGAACAGTGCCCGCGAATTGAACGGCGGCCAAGCAGAAGACGGATCTGACGGGCGGCCAAGGACCGAGACGGGCAAGACGACGTGATTACGGGCGGGCCAATCAGGCAACGGATTGACGGGCGGCCAATCAGACACCGAGGTGCATCCACACGGGTTATGCGCATAGACACGGATTACGGGCCAATCAGACACACGGTATTGACGGCGGCCAATCAGACACACGGATTGAGGGCGGCAGAAACGATGCGCGCAAGAGACACATCGGTATTGACCGGGCGGCCAAGGCAGACATAGCGCACAGACAGAGTACTTGACGGGCCGCCAAGAGAGACGGATTACGGAGCGAGGATTACGGCGCCAAAGACAGACGATTGGACGGCGCACAGCAACGATCACGGGGAAGGAACAGGACGATTGACGGGCGGCCCAAGGAGACAGGACGGATTGACGGCAGGCCAAGCGAGACAGACGGATTGACGGGCGCCAAGGAGACAGACGGCATTGACGGCGGCCAAGGGAGGACAGACGGATTGACGGCGGCCAAAGCGACGGACGGCAAAGACGGATTGGAGCCGGCGGCCAAGGAGACAGACGATTGACGGGCGCAAGAGGAGACGACGGATTGACGGGCGGCCAAGCGAGACAGACGGTTGACGGCGGGCAAGGAACAACAGACGGGCGGGGCAAGGAGACAAAAGACAGCGGCGGGCAAGGAGAAACAGACGGCGGGCAAGGGGGATAACACACAGGACGGGCGGCAAGGAGCACACAGACGGGCGGGCAAGGAGAACCGACGGGGGCAGACAGACGGGGCGGGCAGTGGCAAAGACGAGCGGTCAGGAGGAAGCGGGGCAAGGAGACAAACAGACGGTGCGGGACAAGGAGACACACAGACGGGGCGGGCTTAGGAAACCGACGGGCAAGAGAACAAACGACGGAGCGGGCAAGGAGGACAAACCAGGAGTCGGCAAGGAGACAAACGGCGACAGAAAACGAGGCGGCAAGGAGACCAAACCGGACGGGCGGCAAGGAGACAACCGACGCGGGCAGAGACAAACGCGAGCAGGAGACAAACGCGACGGCGGCAAGAGACCAAACCCGACGGGCGGGCAAGAGACAAACCGATCGGGCGGGCAAGGAGACAAACAGACGGCGGCAAGGAAGACAAACAGACGGAGCGGCAAGGAGACAAACAGGACGGGGGCAAGGAGACAACAGACGCGGAGGAACGACGGTGGCAGAGACAACAAGGCGGGCAAGAACAAAGACGGCGCGGGCAGAAGGAGACAAAACAGACGGCGGGGCAGAGCACAGAGCGGAGGACAAACGACGGGGTGGGCAAGAGACAAACAGACGGGCGGGCAAGGAGACAAACAGACGGGCGGGCAAGGAGACAAACAGACGGGTTGGTAGAGTCAGGCAGGCAGGCAGGCAGGCAGACAGACAGGCAGACAGGCTGGCAGACATGACAGACGTCAATCATCTTTTCATTTCGAATCTTTTGTTGGGGTGGGGGAGCAGTGTCCTCCCGCAGAAGATGCTAAAAAGTTTCCCTAAAGCAGATGATTTATGAATAGTTACACTACAATTCTAACAAAAATCCATGCGCCCGTGAACAACGCTAGTGACTAAACTGTCAGTCGATGATTGTGAGAGCATTAGCAGAAACTGCGTCGAGAAGTTTTATGCATCGCCTTCTGTGTTTTCATCAGACGAGAGAGTTCTGAAGAGAAAGAAGAAGAAAGAAGAAGAGAGCAAGAAGAAGCGACATAAAATTGATAAAGATTACTTCGCCGTAAGAATCGATGAGTATTAGAGAATGTCATGGTTACCCATGTCTGGATAAAAATGTAAGTTCTTCTTTCGAATTTCACGTCATTCATGCTTTCTGTTTTTCGCTCCACGTCTCAGAGCGCTGGTTCAAAGAAGCTACACGATAATTGTTTGCTGCCAACGTACCAACTTTCAATGCGCCCAATACGAGAATTGCTTAGCTTCTCGGAACGATCGCTACAAAAATCGTCGCGACTCCTCTGATTTTGAAACACTGCGAGCTCGTTGCATTTCAAGCGACAAAGTGGATTACGGGAAATCTGACAATGAGTAAATCTTTCGTCGCGGCTGCCCAGGAGGTGGCGCAACCTACTGGTGATTTTTCGAAGCAGTTGAAAGGCGGCTTCAAAAAACTTCGTTATAAAAATGAATTGTTTTCAGCTGGGAGAGAATTAGCGAAGTTTTTGGCCGAAATTAGATTCTCGAAAGCGGGAAGTCTGAAATTTATGATCTTAAATTAATCTTATTCTTAAATGCCTTCAAAGAGTAGCGAAACTGATATGTTAGAAACGTGGCGCCATTTGAATTAATTTGGCGGCTCGTGTACCAACATCGCGATAATAGAATTTGAAAGCGATATTTTTGGGACGTACTTTACAGAAGTCCCTGGGACATTTTCAAAATGTTGAAAAACAAATGGCACCATCGAATTTGATTTAATTTTGTTTTTGGATAGTGTTAAAGTTTACGAAAGTAGTGCATTTCGTATGTTCACTGAATCTCTAATTTTTCGGAAATTGCGAAAGTTCAACATTGTTTCGGTGTCTTCCTACAATTAAAATACTAAAGATAGAGATTTTTCCCGTACTGAAATGTCTTCGAAAATGAACTCGAAAACAGATTTTGAAAAAAGTCAAGTACAATTTTTCGGAAATTTGAGTACTCTTTACGTAAATTTGTGTGAAAATCCAGGGAGAAAGTAGGTGTTATTTTAGAACTATTAGTTTCTCAGTGCACAGTTATCATCAAACAAATCTTACACCATAAGGCAAACATACTTGCAATATATAACATAATAAACAGATTTACTCAAAGTCAATTGTATATTTTCACTTTCTAACTTTTTCAAAAATTGTAAAGTGTAGTTTTTGGCCTCTAACACACAGCACGTTCGCGCTAGAACTACATAAAAAATAGTCATTCGGTGACTTTTTAGAATCTGCAAGTTTCGCAACATTGACAAATTTCTTCTTTTTTCGAAGATCCTTTACAGAAAATTGTTTTACTACATGGACAACAGTTTAAAGTTTTCCGTTTGCCGACTACGCTTCCATAGATTAGAAGGAATGCTGGAAAAAATTATTTTTATCGCACCGCGGATCCACTAAACGTTGTTTCGTGAGAAACATAAATTTTTAGGCATTAGAATTATTAAAATCGCTAGAAAATTTGTATTGGGAAAAAATTAATCGTAATATATGTTCCTTGCAAATCTAAACACTTTGGAACATTACAATAAAATATGCATTCAGACTATTACATTCAATATTTTTCAATTATGATGCATTTTAAAATTTATTAAATGGGTATTGATTGAAGTAAGATACTCTAATGAAAATTATTTTAATAATTTAAAAGCTTTTTTACGCATAAGACAGACATATTCTATTTTTTAATCAAATTAAGATTAACACAGATTTTTAAAATAAATTTAAAAGTATTTTTATAAAAAAAATAATATAACAGTTTTATAAAAAAAATAATTGAAATTATTTTTGTTTGATTAACAGTAATTTTATTAAAACTGTGTGAAATTCCGTATGCTCTGTATTAAACAATTTACCTTTTAAGTTTTTTTGTATCATTTAAGAATGCATAGAAACAAGAAAAAAACCACAAAAATGGAAAACTATAAAGTGAAATTTGTCTACTTTAGGACATCTAATTTTTCTTCTAGTTTTAACACAATAATTACGAATATACTTTGAAATCAACAACAATTAGATGGAACCACACATCAATCAGATGGAACAAAAATGTTGTGAAATCCCATTGTCCCATTGGAAAAGCATTATAGAAACAATTGCTCTTCTATTTTATTGTTTGCGGAACAATTCGACTCTACACACTGGGTTCCAATAGACCCCAGTTGCACCACCGACGAATTACCTTCTGTTTTTTGAGAAGTATTGGCAACTGAGACTGCCAGTCTAGAAGGTTAGTTAACGGTGTAATTCAAATTATTGAAGAGCTATGCGGCTGCCTTTGCACTCTGTGTATATTTTAAATGTTGAGAACCAGTAGACCCCAGTGTCCTATTTCTTCGGTTCAGTTGTCTCTCGCTGTCATAGAATGGTAGTATGCACACCCCTTCTGCTCAGCAGCATAGGCCTTTCTTCATTCGCTCCCATAGCAGCCTGCGCATTCGGTTTTGCGGGACGAGTCGCGGGGCTGTGTAGGCAATATAATTGTCAGAAAGTGTAAGGTAATGATCTTAGGTCGCGCGCGCGCGCGCGCACACTGCATATGTCAGCCAGTACCGAAAGCTGTGTCTTCGTCCTCGTTTTAATTTAGTAGTGCCGAAGGCAGCAAGTGTGGCCGTGGACGGCAGGTCTGACGGGGAGGGGGAGAGAGGGGATGGGGCTGCTCACCGGCGATGGTGCGGCGGTCCTCGTGCTGAACGTCGTCCATGATGTGCGGGCAGCCCGCGTCCACGGAGCGCAAGAAGCGGGACGTGATGGATGGGAAGCTCTGGTGCGAGACGGCCATGTAGCGCTCGCGGATATGCAGAGCGCGCACCAGCAGGCGCGACGCCTGCTGCAGATCCTCCAGCGGTACCTGCGCACACAAGATATGGGCCTCATAAACCACTCGTCTAAAGGTTGGTCCTAGAAGCATCCGTAGGCAGGTTAGCCAACGTTTCGGTCAGACGTTAGTGGACGGTAGGTCGGCGCCGGATCTGACCATCCAGCGGGGGGGAAACACCGCCCTCTCCAAAGGAAAGAACATACACTAAGCAATCCATAATCTTCTCATTAAATAATGAATTCCATTTCTTTGACCCTTCGGTAAAATGGGATTCGTCGCTTCCATCTCTCTCTTGTAGGAGCGGCAAGGCCTTGCCTTCGTCGTCTGCCTCCTGCCTGCTTGGAGATGCTCCAAAACAAAATGACCTTATTAATTAAAGAATTAATTTAGTTAATAACTTCACTCTTTTTAAATTTCTGCTTACACCTAATTAAAAGGATTTCTATCCGATGAATGCGGACTACCACTATTCAGACACAAAAGGGACGAGAAATGTTAAGGATTAATGAATAAGAAAAAAATATGTCCGCGTTTTAGATTACGATGATGACATGGTAAAGAAACTAAGAGAAACGCTATAATGAAATACCCAAAATCCAGAAGATAAAACAAAAAATGATACCGAGCTTTCATAAGAAGGCTTTGCTGACTAACTTAAGAATAAGCGTTGTGTCAATAGCAGAGGGTAAGGTCTGGCACGAGAAGCACATACAATGGTGACACGTGATACTCGTAAGAAGCAGACACTGAACTCGACGCACGATTGGAAAAAACTCCAGATCTCCATATAAGTACATTTTTCGGAGCTTTTGAACTATTACATCTTTTACGCCAATAGTTTCGATCTCACATTCTTTCATTAAATCAGGTAGACTGAGAAAAAACATAACAAAAGTGTTCGTAGGAGGGACCATTTAGGCAAGTGTCGACCGAACGAGGAGGAGGAGGAAAGAATATGGCAAGAACGAGAACAGCAACAGCGACGGGACCGACGAAGGCGGCGACAACAGTGGTGTGGAACCGCCTCCGTTGTGCCACGGACAACTTTAATCTCTAAGAGTCTACTAGAGTCGGCCATGGTTGTGCCCATCCGCTTCCGGCGCTGCGACCGTGCGGCTGGTAATTTGACGCGCCATTATCCGATCAAGCCCCCGATTAAACGTTACTGAACCACCGCCGCCGTGCCAAAGCGCCTGTGAGCTGACACTCTGCAATTACCGCCATAGTCCATCACTCGTAACTCGAGAACCACCCAAGCACTTGCAAGCGGCCCTCTCTATGCGCTTTTATAGCCAGAACCCTTCCCAGAAGAAATAGATACCGGACGGAAAGTAATGGTTCGAAATGAGCTCCATTGTTCGTTAAGAGCTTAGGTTAGGGATTCTCTCACTCGAGTGCTTGTACCTTCAGGAAAACGCTGTACACTTATAGAGGTACTTTAACCACTTCCATGAGACAATTTTACGAAAAACGAACTATAACTAATAAAAGTTACGAGCGCGATCTGGATTTTCAGGAAATCCTATCGTCCTTTGGTAAACAATGCTTCTTTATAGTGTTGAGTTATAAGGGTCTCTTTCTTGCGAGTACTATGTGAATCTAAAAGCTATTTTCGCTATGGCATTTCTTTGACGTTCTTGTAATTATTTAGTGATTTAGACGAAATTTTCATTTGTTTTTGGTCTTAATTTAGGCTGACAGTTTTCCTGAAAAAGTTCCTTCGGGGAAATAGACTTAAACTTAAGACCGAATAAACAAGTTTCTTCTCGACGAACGACTTAAGGCATTTTGAGCACAATGCACAGATCGACTCTGTCACCCCGGAAGCCCCTCACATGCGCGCGTTGGCTAAACTGGGAAATCGTAGGTCAAAAGAAAGCGTGTAAATCGTAAGTGCAAGTGTGAGGATACAATCTATAAAGAAGTTCGAGAACGTATGTTTTAAGTGATAAGATACGGAACGCAAGACTTAAATTGCAGTCATAATTCAGCATTCACGGAAATTTATAATTTCTACAAATAGAAAGTTAGGTAACAAGTTCGCGAAACCCCTTGCGTTCATGTATAATTTTTATCAGTGGACTTTCAGGATACGCCATCATCCTTTGGTAAACGCTTCTTAATAGCAATGAGTTATAAAGATTTATCTTTCTTGTCAGTACCTACTACAGGAATTTAAAAGCTGTGTTTCGCGTTATGTTCGCACACTACTAGTTAGACTGAAAAAATAGCTGTTTCGCATACGGAAAACAAACCGAGAAACTGTTTAACGCGTGGCGTGTAAAAAAATATATTTCACATTTAAGATATTACAAACATCTTATTATTTTCGTAGAAATCAATTGAAATGCCCAGAGGGGGGTACCGTGGTGGTGGTGGTGGTGGTGATAAATGATGGCATTGAACTGCATGACTTCTCAATTATCCAGGGTGCCAATATCTGGGAATAGGACTATTGCAGCATTGGGATGACTTCATTAATTTAATCAATGTAGTCAATGCTCTCGCTCTGATAAAAAAAATCACCAACACTGAAGTCCTTCGCAAGCTTGCGCCCCACAAAAAGGTTATTTATTCGTTAAGGTGACTTAATCGTCATATCTATCACCCAAATTTTTACCTTTAATCCAATATTTTTGTTCTCCATTATCCAGTTTTACGGCTTTCTTAGGTCCCTCTTCCTGATTACCATCCCGAATAACGGAGGATCTACTGTATTATTCAAGCTATTTTTTTCCACACAATGTCAAATTTAAATAGAATAAATTTTGTTTCGAAAGCTTCCACTTCCATTCATTTGGCCCCATTTGCGCACGGTCCGGCCTACCACCACGCAAACGCAAACGCCAGCGACAAGCGCGCTTGGAAAGGACGGGGAGGTGGCGCGGGGCGAGGCGCGGGGCGAGGCGCGCGGCGAGGCGCGGGGCGAGGCGCGGGGCGTGGCACGTGGCGTGGCGCGGGGCGAGGCGCGGGGCGGGGCGAGGCGAGGCGGCACGCAACGGGCCACCGGCTCCCGGCCCGGGCCACGCGCCGACGCTTAATGAATTTGCTCCTCGGCCGCCTTCAGCACGCAGTTTGTCAACGCTGCGCCGTCGCCCCGCGTGGGCCGGCCGGGCCGGGCGATGTCGAGGTGCGTGCGGCCTTCGCTACCGCCGCATGCCGCGCAAGAGCACCTCGAGCGGGAACCATGGAGAAATTTCTACTTTACGACTTAACGAGAGGGCGGCGTAGTATGTAGCGGTGAGAGTTCATTATGACTTCTGTAGCAAAAGAGAGCGTCGAAAGCACTGGGTTTTGCGCCAATAAGCACAACCATTTAATTTTTACTTCCAAACAAAGAGTCGAATTGTAATGGCGAACTTTCTCTGATAAAGGTTACATAATACTGTCTATCATACTATGTCCTATTTATAACATTTCACCAACACTTGAAAAACTAACGATAATACTAAACATTTCGCAAAAATTCTACAATAGAAAAAGTGCATGAAATATTTTAAAATGTACTATTGAGGTTTTAACTCCATTAAAAAAATTACTAGCTTCAGTATTAAAGTTATAGGACAAATTCTACAAAATTGCAATTTTCGAAATTTCAGAGATTTTAATAGAAATCGAACTTCATAATATTAAAATAATTTCACATAATCCTCTCCCCTCCAGAACAAATTGTCACATTTTTCAGAAAATGTTGAACGTAACCTACACTTCATGTCATGTTTTGCGAACAAAATTCCTTTTAAATTAGCAATATCTTGATTGAGCCAGGCCAATCGAGAAATATCCAATTTTGAGAAAATTCTATAATCAGCGCCGGCGCCAGCGGATGTTTAATAAAACATTTATTCGATATTAAGAGTTCCCAAATCTGAATTTTGACTGTACCAAGTACAAAACATCGGTACTTTATACTGCAGAATTACAAAACCTTCCACCCCCAACGCACTATACAAGAAAACTATAAGTTATTCGAATGTTGTATTTGTAGCAGTACAGCATGACTCCTTCCGTCATCAGATTCCAATTTCATATCAATTTCATTTAACAAGGTTATACTTTCGGGTGAACTTTCTTGCAAGAATATGTAGAATGAGGTCATGCTTATTGTAGACAAGAAAACAAGTACTTTGCCAACAACTGGCAGATAAGGTAGATAAAGTACATATTTTTGTAATTATTCTGAGGGAGAAAACGACCTACACTTCTGACACAGATAACCCTGAATGAACTATGCGTATGCCGAGTTAGATGGCAACCAATTCCATAACGCATTCTAAACAATATCAACTTGAGCACGAACTGCTTACAGAACTACTTTCATGAATGTGTAATATAAAAAATAAACATAACGTTTTTGCAATAAAATTTGTATGATCTGTATTTCTTAATATATACAAAACTATTTTCTAACTTTCTCAGGTAGCATGATGACTGTTCAATGAGAAAAATAATAGTTTGAACTACGTTAATCTTCTCAATACTTCATTTAGTCAGGCAAATACAAAATTTATGTCACACATGTGAATGTATTCGACGTTCGCTGCTTTTAGTTTTCAATCTTGTTCATTACATAATTTCCAAATCAAAGGACTTTAAATTTTTATTATTCTGTGATCTTTTAATGGCGCTTCAACAGCTAAGGTCATTGGGACCCGTGTCAAATTATTTTAAGAGCAACACGTACTATAGCAGTGTTTTAAAAAATGATTTAGTTTGACAAAGTCAAATACGAGTAAAACTGAAAATCAATGTTCAATTATTTCAAGAAGAGGGTTGACAGAAAAGAGCTACATAAACACTTAAAAATCTCCAATTTAAGGTGGAATAATTTACATAATCTTCTCCCAGATTATGCTGTAAATGCCAGTCTCTCGAAGAAGCTAACAAGCTTGCAGAGAGAAGATTCGTCATTTCCAGATACCAGAGCTAGAGAACTAGCCAGGTGAAGCATTTGGCGGCTCTCTCTTGCCTTGCAGTAGAAGGCAGTCGAATATGCTCCAGGGTAAGATTCGCCTCGCAACTATCGCAAGTAGGGGGTACTCCGAAGATGGCCGTGGGAGAAATGGCAGTGACCGGGCAGTGACTGATCCGAAGGCGGGTCACAATTATCTCCACGCGCATGGACCCACGAGATGAATACCAAGGCTATATGGAATCCTTGATTCTCGTGAGTTTAAAATCTGAGTATTGCCACTCTGCATTGAATATTTAACGCTTTAAATACACGTTAGAGTATGTTGAGGGGGCATAAAAATGTCAATAGATAACTTCCGAGTGGCTGTTTTTATGGTTTGATCGGCTAGCTCATTCCCTGCGATTCCCAGATGACCCGGTACCCAACAAACTACTAGGTCATATTGGCAAGATTATAGACAGTGAAATAGACGTATTGTCGTAGTCAAGTGATCGAAGGGAGGAAAAGTCAAAACTGACTTGAGTGCACTTCGGAAATCACTGCATGTAACTACTCGTCGTGAGGCACCTGATTCTGTGTATTTCAGGGCTTGCAGAAAAGCGAATTTCTCAGCAGAGAAAACTTTACAGTACGGGTAAATTTTGAATAACTGTGTGGCTGTCTACAGTAGCATGCACATGCCACAGAATCATTTGTGGCATAGCCGTCAGTGTACAAGAAAGTATGACCTGGATAACTCATAGAAGCTCTTAAGATACGCAAAGTTGGTGACTTAGGGAGGGAGGTTGGTTAAGATGAAATATATTACGTGTCGGAGAAGCTTCCAAGGAGGGGCCAGGTTTTTGGAAGGTTTCACAAGGACAGGGAGTTTCAGGTTAAGCTCCCGCATCAAAGTGTAAAAGCGGATACCAGGTGTTTTAGGTAAGGATCTCATTAAGTATGATGTTTGGAGACGTGAGTATAAGAATGCTCGCCAAAATAGACCTTACAGCTGACAGTTTTGCACTGTACGAAAGATTCAAATCTCCCGTCGTCAGCTAAGAGACGGTTATCCAGCTTCATCGAAGATGCACTCCATACGGCCCGTACGATTGGCACCTGTGCCAATACGGATTCCGGCATGGTGAATAGAATTGACAGGTCGTTAAGTTGAAGATGACGCTGAGCCGAATACA